ACACACACACACACACACACACACACACACACACACACACACACACACACACAGAGAGAGAGATCTCCGCTAGATGGCGCTGTCGCGTGTCATCCGGGACACATCTGACGTCTCTTAAAAACACGACGTCTCATTTTCGTGGAAATCAAACGAGATCGATCAGATTATTCGCTCGTGCTGAGCTCGTGCGGGAGTCGCTGATTGGTCGAGCAGCTGCCGACGTCACAATCACGCGCGGCCGCCAAAGCGTTCGACATCTCGCTCAAAATGAGTTATTAGTGTGTTTGATACAGTCTGTAGCTTGTCTTACCATTTCCCCTGCGCGGCTGTAACAGCGGGCTAGTCTGGTCAGAGCGCTCGGCCAGTGACGGCCGCAGGTCAGAGTGAACATTAACCCGCTGAAGGTGTGCCCCGAGTCCGCCTGATCACAATAACAGCTCTGCTCAGTGCTGGCTGATGCGCGCTAGTACCCTTCCTACACTGCGTGCTTATATCCCTGCTGTGCTGCTGTGCTGATGAGCTGCTGTCCTGCTGCTGTCCTGCTGAGCTGAGCACTAGAGCAGGAGTCTAAACACGAGACTGAGGCGCTCTGTGAGCACGACCCGCCTCCCGAGGTCACGCGACAAAATACTCATTAAAATATTCATCTTAACTGACTTTGTATTAATGCAGTACAGGTAATGACGATTTACAACAACATCTCCAAATCCATAGGTGCGTCCCAAATCACCTACTTATGCACTACTCTATGATGTTTTGTAGTATAGCTAGTGCGAGTAGTGCATTCACACTGAAAATCCCAAAAAGAAAAAGTGCACTTGAAATACCCGGATGATGCACTTAATTAACTGATTAAGTGTGGAATGTTGGACACTTCATGCACTCGACTGTCGCAGCTTTAATCACGCAGTGAAGGGGGCGGGGCTAACAGACTCCAATTATGAATGACAAAACAACCTTATATTACTCATACACTACAGGACTGAGTACATAGTGTGCATACTGCATCATTTAGAACGCAGCTCATGTGTTTGTCTTGCAGCTCATTATAGATGAGCTCAGTGCTCATTGATTTTCTCTCAGCTTTTTCATGAATTGCAGTGAGTGCAGAGGATTGTGGGTGATGGATGCATCCTTCAGTTACTTCACCAACCCGTGCTGGGCTGTGTTCTCAATGGAGTGCTAGTGCGCTACTTACTCGTGTGAGTTAACAGAAGTATGCCAACTACTGTCACGTGCTTTCATCTGCGCGAGGTGTCCAAGTATCTCAGACAAGCTTTGCATTTTAAGTTTGCATATCAGTGTCTTTCTTTTGCTTTTGGCTTTTACCAGAACAGAAGTAAACAAGTACACAACAACACGAGCAGATTCTTATTTATTCCACAAGTATGTGCACTGAGATCCCGAGGACAATACTTTCCAGCATCATTCCTCCAGTCTTCAGTGTCACATGATCTTCAGAAATCAGTATAATATGCTGATCTGCTGCTCGAGAAACATTTCTGATTATCATCAATGCTGAAAACATTAATATCTTTGTGGAAACTGATACATTTTATTTTTCAGGATTCACAGATGAACAGAAAGTTCAAAAGAACAGCATTTATTTGAAATAGAATCTTTTGTAACATTATCAATGTCTTTACTTTAAAAAAAAATCACACTTAGCCCAAACTTTTGAAGGATAATCATCAGGATAAATAATCAGAAAGCAGCATATTATAGTGATTTCTGAAGATCATGTGACGCTGAAGACTGGAGGAATACAGAAATACATTACAGTGTAACAGATACTCACACAGAACACTGCAACAATGTTTCACAATGTTTGTGTGTTTTGCCTCGGTGAGCAGAAGAGGCTACTGGATGAATATGAGTGCAGCTCTTCAGGGGGCTGCACCGAGCGAGCGGTACCGGAGAAGAGCTGGACGCCGTGATGTTCCTCCGGTCGCAGCGGACTGACAAACCTCAGAAGAGAGAAACTCCCTCCTGGCCTGTGAAACAATATCCCCCAATTAAATAGAGTTAAACACAGGCCACTGCAGGTCGAGGAGTCGAAAATACACATGAAGAGTTAAAAGCAGCATCGTGAAAAGCGCTATACAAATACATTTGAAGTGAATTATGTGTACGCATTGCACTCGAGCAGTTCAGTACACTATCTGCCCACTGTAACACTCTTTATGTGATTTATACCTCGAGCTACTGAATCTAAATCATATCTGTAACCAGTGTGGGATTTGTCTGTGATTATTTGTGAAATATGGGCTATTTCTGTGTTGTTCACATGCATCTCTACATATGTAGGCCTACTATTGTTTACATTCTACGCTACTTTAAAACCATTAAAGTAAAATAAAAATCAATGGATATCCGGTTATTTTAATGGTGTAGAATGAAACAAACAGCAGTAAGACTTCCTTGATGTAGTTACATTTTAATAAAACATGTAAATATTCATACTGTAACTGTATTACAAAGTATATAAATGAGGAAAAAATAAAAGCCCAGGTCACTGATTATATGAATGTAACAGATATTGAACATAAACCTGTGCTTAATGCCACACACTGCTACTCGCAGGCTACGCACTACTCATCTCAATCATCCTGATATTAAACCAATATGAAGATTTTTACATCACTTCTTCACAAGATGCTGACAGCATTCCCACACCAACAATCATCATCAGAATAATTGATACAATACAAAAGGAACTATTACAAGACGTGTTGTAATTGATGTGTGTAATGAAAACGCGTGTGTCATGTTTGCATCACATCTCCAGTCACGGACCCACTGAACATGCACACGCTAGAGAGAGCTGCTGGAGTTCTTTGGTGGAGTGCTGGAATGGGAGAAACACATTTCAATGAAACTATTGCACTCGTTGTGAAGTCATCTTCATTATCGTGTCACTATGTAAATCAAGCTTAAGAAACGAGCCCACTAACAACCCAACATGACATGCAATGGACATTCAGAGTGATAACAGAGTGCTACAGACGTATTTACATGAAAAACACCAACCTCAGTGGAGGAACGGCCAAACGGCCCACCGCAGTCAGAAGAGTTCAGTGATCTGTGTGACGGAGATCACGTGTGTGTGTGTGTGTGTGTGTGTGTGTGACAGATATCACGTGTGTGTGTGTGTGTGTGTGTGTGTGTG